ATGCATATGCGTTTTATTTTTGCTATTTCCTACTTTTGTGCCACTCTTTCTCTCCCTTTCTCTGTCTTCCTTTTAATCATTAGCTCTCGCTCTCTCTCTTCCTCTCTCTCTGTCTGTTTATCTATCTATCTATCTATGTCTCTCTCTCTCTCTCTCCCCCTCCCCCCTCTCTTTCTATTCATACATTGCATATATACACATATGTACACACGCATATACATACATACACATATACTACCTATACTTTCAGCATACATATATATCTACGTTGTATTTATCTGTCTATCATCCTATCTGTCTGTCTATCTGTCTGTCTATCTATCTGTCTTTCTATCTATCTATCCATCTATATATCCATATATATATATATATATATATATATATATATATATATATATATATATATATATGTAAATATAATCATCATTATTATCTTTCTATTTATCCATCTACATATGTATGTATGTGCGAGGTTATGTACACACACACACATCCGTACATGTATACATAAAGGAAGGAAGGTGGGAGGGGGAAAAGTGAGAGAGAATAGGATCAAAGTGGATTGGAACATACGAAAGGCATATTAGGTCTAAAGTACCAAGGCGAGTGGTCACTGAGAATGACAAAGAAAAAAGTGTCGGCCATAATGTCAGTGTCAAACGATTCATGCTGGTTACATTAATTCTCAGGGGCTGCTGGATGCGATGATGCCCAAGCCAATAATGATAGTAATAGTATCTGCAGCGATAATGACAATGAAGCTGTTCCGCTAACGATGAGGATGGGAGTGGTAACAACAACAACAGAAATAACAACAGCAACAACAACAGCAACAGCAACAACAACAACAATAACAACAACAACAGCAACAACAACAGCAAACAACAAATAACAATAACAACAACGCCAACAGCAACAACACCTACAACAAAACAACAACACACAATGGTTTTGATTATCCGAATATCAGCGAATATAGATCAAGATAAGGGCAGATGAGGGGGAGTGAACACAGATAAGAGAATCAAAACAAGAACAGGGGACACCAGAACAGCACACAGTGAGAGCGGTCCACAATAAGAACAGATTAGAAGAAGAACAAGTCAGAACAAAAATAGGCTAGAGATGTATGTCGATCGCCTGCAAGTCAGTTTTCTAAATGCTTTTTTTACTGCTATTTGTAGACTTTGGAACAGATTGCCTTCAGAGATGGGAACTTCTGCGACTCTTGGTGTTTCAAAGATCAGAGAACATGACTTTCTTTTCACTCGTTCTTTCTGAGCTGTCTTGACCTGCACTGCACGTTTGGTGGTGCGAATCTCGATCTCTTCAGTGTGGCTCTTTATAACGCTGACTATAATAATAATGATGATAATAAAAAGAACGGCCCAAAAAGGCCAAAACAAGAACAGTAAAAGCAAGAACAAACAAGACAATAACAGCCCAAGACGAGCGTCCCAAGCAAGAACAGCGTCAAACAAGAACGTCGTATAACAAGAACATTCCAGAATGCGAGCGGCCACGCCGGCCTCCGCCGCCGAGACGCGGGCGCGGGCGAGGCAGGAAGGGCTTGTGGGCGGCGGTGAGAGGCGTGACGAGCGTCGAGGCACGGGCGCGGGAGGGAGTCCGACGGGCGAGGAAATGGGCGGCGAGAGGGAAGGCGTCGCTCCCGCGCGGGCGGCCGAGGCGTAGGATGGGCGCGCGGGCGGCCGTCGCGGGGACTTTGCGGCGGAGGAGAGGGAGGAAGGCGGCGAACGGGGGAGGAAGGGGACGGGAACGAAGGGTGAGGGAAAGGGAGTGATGTAAGGGTGATGATGCTGTAAATGCTGATGGAGATGATGGAGAGGATTGTATTACAATTATATCATAGATGTTGATGATGATGAGAAAGAAAATGATGATGACGGTGATCGTGATGATAATGATTATGATAATGATAATACTCATGATAATGATAATAATAATAGTGAAAAAGATGATAATAATAATAATAACACTAATGATAATAAAATATAATGATAACACTAATGATAATAATAATGATAATAATAATAACACTAATGATAATGATCATAATAGTAATGATAATCACAATGATAATAATAATAACAATAACAAAAAAAACAAAAGCAAAAACACTAATGGCAAACATCTCACCTGAAATCTTAGCGATATTAACCCCCTCCTCCCCCTCCCCCTCCCCCCCCCCTCCCCCTAAAGCGACAGGCACAATTACCTGGCCGGGCGCCCATTAGCAACACCTGCACCGCCGAAACTCCGGTTGCCTTGTTGCGAATTGCCGACGTGTTGATCCAAGAGAGTCCAGGGGGAGGAGGAGGGGGAGGAGGGGAGGAGGAGTCCAGGGAAGAGGGGGAGGAGGGGGACGAGGAGCGAGGAGGAGGAGGAGGAGGAGGAGGAGGAGAGGAGAGGGGAGGGGAGGAGGGGAGGAGGAGGAGGAGAGGAGGAGGGGGAGGAGGAGCGGGCGAGGAGGAGGAGGAGGAGGAGGAGGGGGGAGGAGAAGGGGAGGAGGAGGAGAGGAGGAGGAGGAGAGAGAGGAGGAGGAGGAGGAGGAGGAGGAGAAGGAGGAGGAGGAGGAGGAGGGGAGGAGAAGGGGGAGGAGGAGGAGGAGGGGGAGGAGGGGGGCAGGAGGAGGAGGGGAGGGAGGGGGAGGAGGAGGGATAGGGGGAACGCAATTAAGAAAATAAGAACTAAAGAAAAATAAAACAAAATAAAGACGCAATGAATAAGAAAGAGAGAGAGAGAGAGAGAGAGAGAGAGAGAGAGAGAGAGAGAGAGAGAGAGATGAGAGAGAAAGAGAGAGAGAGAAGAGAGAGAGAGGAGAGAGAAGAGAGAGAGAGAGAAGAGAGAGAGAGAGGAGAGAGAAAGAGAGAAAGAGAGAGAGAGAGAGAGAGAGAGAGAGAGAGAGAGAGAGAGAGAGGAGAGAGAGAGAGCGAGAGAGAGAGAGAGAGAGAGAGAGAGAGAGAGAGAGAGAGAGAGAGAGAGAAGAGAGAGAGAGAGAGAGAGAAGAGAGAGAGAGAGAGGAGAGAGAGAGAGAGAGAGAGAGAGAGAGAGAGAGAGAGAGAGAGAGAGAGAGAGAGAGAGAGAGAGCGAGAGCGAGTCTAAAGAAAGCCCCAAAGCCTAAACTGAGCCACGCGTCCCACCAACCCCGTCGCGGGCGTGTGGCAGGTGTTTGGGCGTCCAGATAGGCCCCGGCGCCCGCATCTGACAACTCGCGGGCACGTCCCTGCGGCCACAGGACAAGCCCCGGCGCTCGGCGAGGGAGAACGGGAGACAAAAGCCATTTTTCAGAAAACCGCATCAGTTTTTTCGATCTCGCAGCGGCCGGGGCCTGGGAGCTGCGTGAAGGGGGGGGGGAAAGGGAAAGCAAGAGAGAGAGAGAGAAACTGGCAGACAGACACAGAGTCAATGAGACTGTCATACATGTAATAAAATTCAAATGATAAACATAAAGAACGCAGGATCAGACGATGATAAGACCGAACGAATACAAAAACAAGCAAACAGACATAAGGAAGTCCCCCCCCCAAAAAAAAAAAAAAAAAAAAAAAACTGTAAAACGAGTAAATGAGAATGAAGTAAGGGCCCAGAGGGCCAAAGGAAGAGGAAATCTCAAGAGGAAGGGCATCCTCTCCCGCCTCGCGGAGCAGGACGCAGCATCCTTCGGGAGAGACGAAAAGGGGGGGCTTATCACTAGGGCATCTTAGGGTCTGCATCAGGAGGAAGAAGAGGGAGGAGGAGGAGGATGGGGGGGAGGAGGGAAAGAAAAGGAGGAGGAGGAATAGGAGGATGGGGAGGAGGAGGAGAGGAGGAGGAGGAGGAAGAGGAGTGTAGGAAGAGGAGATGATGATGAGGAGGAGACGGAACAGATGGTGGCGGTGGTGATGGAGGAAGAGGAGGACAAACAGGGAGAGAAGGAGGAGGGAGAAGGGAAAGAGAGGGAGGAAGGTGGCGATTAAGAATGAATAGGAGGAAGAAGGAGAGTGAAGAAAGTGAAGGAGAAGACTGAAGGAAGGAGGATGAGGAGGGTGGGGTGGGGTGGGTGGTGGGGGGTTAAGATAATAAGAAGTTTGGAAAAAAGCCTGCAATTGCACGAAGGGAAAGAGGAGGACAGGAGAAAAAAAGAGGATAGCAGGAAGAGAAGGATGAGGAGGGAATAGGGGAAAAAAAAGGAGGGGATGACGGTGGAAGAAAGGAATAAAGGGACATTTGGAGAGTCGAAAGAAGGAAATGAGGAAGAAAGAAGGAGGAATAAGGAGTCGTGCGGATGGTCGTAGGAAGGAGGAAATGAGGAAGAAGGACGAACAAGGAGGCGTGTGAGGTCGAGGAGGGGGAAGGGCCCAGCGTGCGTGGCGGAGGCGATGAAGGAGCGATAGTGGCGAGGTGACGGATGGGCAGGTCGTCCGGGCGCTCGACCTGCCCATTGTCTCCCTCGCGCCCTCTCTCCCTCTCGTTCCGGGCTGTCTATCGGTCTGCCTGTCTGTCTCTTTATCTGCTGTCTCCTATCTACTTTTGGTGCGATTATGACCCCGGGGACTAAGTGTCTAAGTGTGTGTGTATGTTTGTTTGTGTGTGTGTTTATGTCTGCGTCTGAACACCACAAGCTAAACATGCAAGACGCCTGGCGTGTTTGGCCGCGTGGGTGTTGTTGACACGCCCATACAAACGACGCTGTGATGTTGACACAGGCCTTCCCGAGCCACACACAGCGCTCCCTCTCGCCCGCGCGGCAGCTACCGGAGTTGAGGCAAATACGTCCTGGGGCTTCGGGCCTGTTAGACGTGTTTGCGTTTGGCATTTTGATCTGGCCGTTGTTTGTTTGTCTGTGTGTGCGAGTGTATCTTGCTCTGACGTGATGCCTCTGCGCCTCTTTTGAAATTCTGTCTATTTGTTTATGTGTATCTATTCTAACTGTTTAAACACATACACACTCACAAACACATGCTTGTGCCTCTTGGTAATGTTTCTTCCTCCGCCCACAGGCAAGAAGTGGCGCTCCCTCACGCCCACGGAGCGCCGCCCGTACGTGGAGGAGGCCGAGCGCCTGCGCCTCAAGCACATGGCCGACCACCCTGACTACAAGTACCGCCCGCGGCGCCGCAAGCAGCAGCAGCCCAAGAAGCCCGGCGGCTCCTCGACGCCCGGCGCCGCAGCTGCCTCCACGCCGTCGTCCACCTCGTCCACGCCCACCATCACCTCCTCGCCCGCGGTGGAGGCGCAGCTCAGGAAAGTCGCGAGTCCGTCCGTCCCGGGCGGCTTCCTGCAGGCCACGCTCACGGCGCCGCTCAGCAACAGCAACAACGCGAGCAGCAACACGAGCATCCCATCGCTGCCGCCCACGACCTTCACGCCGCCCACCACCTTCACGCCGCCCGTGCTTCCGGCGCTCCACACGCCCGACACCTCGCCCACGTGCTCCCCCGAGCCCGCCTGGCCCCCCCGCAGCCCCCCCAGGCCGCGCCCCTCGGCTGCACCCTCGCCGCCCTCCCGACGCCTCCCGAGGCCTCGCCCCACGACCACGACCACCTCCATGCCTCCGCCGCCCTCCACCACCACCACCACCAGCAGCTCCACCACCAGGAGCACCCGCAGCAGCAGCAGCAGCAGCTGGAGAGTCCCCACCAGGCATCCCGCTTGCTGCACTACTTCTCGCAGTCACAACAGAACTACTCGGGCTACATGTACCCAGGGGCGGCCCCGGGCTACCCGCCGCACAACTACGACTATCACGACTACATGAACGGCGCCGAGGGCTACTACCCGGCCCACTACGACCCTCAAGGCTACACGCACGACCACCACCACCCTGCTTTCTCCCACCCGGCCTTCAGCAGTGAGTATGGCATCAGTTGGCCCTTCGAGGCCCCTTGCTGGCAGACCCACTTCGGGGAAGAGGCGGCCTTTCGCTCGCCAAAAGCTTTCCTAATGAACGTTTACCCTTTTTATGAGAATTAAAACAAACTCGTGGTTCTCGCTTCATCCTATATGCAACTGCACAGTGTCAGATACATGTGTTCCCTCTTCTCTTAGGTCCGAGGAGTGACGTCAGCGGGGAAGGCGGTGCACCGGGAGGACCCGCGTCAGGAGCAGGAGCGGCAGCAGGAGCAGCAGGAGCTGGATCTGCTGGGCCAGTGGTTGTAGGAGGAGGAGGAGGAGGAGGGCCAGCAGGAGGAGGCGCCGCCGGAGTCATAGCTAGTAACAGCAGCAGCAGTAACAGCAACAGCGCCGGCAGCAGCGCCGGGGAGGGGGTCGCCGTGCCCCCACATGGCGAGGCCGAGGTGTTCGACGACGTTGATCGCTCGGAGTTCGACCGGTACCTGAAGGGCCCGGAGAGGGTGTCCGCCGTGGCCACCACCTTCACCTACACACCACCTGCAAACACAAGGTAAGAACACAGGTGGCAGTTCTTTATTCTGTGTCTTTGCGTAAGCGACCGAGAGAATGGAAGACCTGGAGCCGACACCGGCGCCTTCCGTTTCATAATCCTTCCACAATACTTACTCCCTTCCCCTCTTTCCCAACACAGGTACCTGCAGGTAGGCGGAGGCCAGTACCAGGACTCCCAGTTCACGGCGCTCATCAAGGAGGAACCCGAAGACTACAGCAATGGAGCAGGGGCAGGGGGAGGAGGAAGCGGAGGAGGCGGAGGAGGAGGAGGAGGAGTTCCTAGCGCGGCTGGAGGTCCTTCGACAGGCATCACCTCGGAGGCAACCAAATCTACGGAGGCCGCCTGCCACTCTCCGGACGCCGCCAAACCGGACACCAACACCTCCAGCCTCCTGTCCGCCCTGGCCGACGTCCGGGAACTCTACTACGAGCACTCCTAAGGCAGGAGGCCGTTCGATTCTTGCGTGTTATTACCATTCAATATATACCGTTAGCAACATTCTAGTTCGCTATATCCATCAGGACACAATTGCCTTCGGAAGCACTTTCAAGCCTTGACGACGAGAGAAGCAGCACTCCGAATCGAGAGCGGAGGGAAGCACATCCTTCAATCCAAGGCAGCGATTCCCGAGTCCTCGAGGTGGAGCTGCGCTGCCTTCCCTCGAGGGCGGACGAGTAGCTCGCACTGCCACGCGTGGCTTCTGACGGATTTACAAAGCATGTACATATCAGCATCTTAGAGAGTATTAGGACCTCCTCACGAGGCGTCGTTCAGGACCAAGAGCAGACGGTGAAAAAGCCCAGCGCAGAGGGGAAGGATTTCTGACGCAGGATCAGCATCAGTGAGCTTGTGAAATCTGATTTTGGACTCGAGAGACGAGGTCGAGACGGCGAGATTTTGAGTGGAACGAGCTCGAGGGAGAGTGATATTCACCGTTGCTTGAGCAAACATACCAAAAACCTCTATTTTTTGTTATTTGCGTGTCTTGTTGTTGAATGATTAAAAGGAAACTTATCCTGAGTGTAGTATAATTTTAAGCAGACATTTGATGATGGTGTGGAAAAAAGTGTTGTTGATAGTAGATAATCA